ACATGATCTTCCTGCACGCATGGGTCTGTTGGACTTTTTTAAAATGAGGATTATCCCGGCCTTTGCATCAAACAATGCACACGACCATTACGGGTCTGTTGGACCAAGGATATTTCTGTTCAATTTCACCTTGAGCTGAAAACCGGGGAGGACACAAAAGTTACAGTCAGCCCAATCAGAGTGTATCTATGTGAGAACTAAACCTCGCCATGCGCAAATAATACAAACAGAAGAACAAATGTTTCTCGTCATTTTGCATAGAAGGTCGTTTTTTTTCTTCGGTCCAAGCATTTCAATATTACTTGTTATACCTCCCTCGGATATAAGAACAAGGCATGATGGTGCGATGAACAATCTGCCAAGAATGGATTTTCGAGTTGTTTGATACGTGTGTTATCAATGCGGCTCGGTCAAAGATACGGATGCAAGGCAATGGTCGTTGCCGCCCAAAAGATGGTTGGATGAACACAAATATAATTGATAGGCGATCGTTGAGATATATTTTAGCTGGGACTCACACATCCCAAATAGGAAATGAAGAAATACTCAGAGATGTTGAAAGTTAAGATGATGTCTGAACACCCACCGGATGCCGGTTCGGACATGCCCTTCGATCATGTTTGGAAAGCGAATATGCCGCTTAAAATCAATATTTGGCTAATTGGATTTGGCTCATCTGCTATAATACCATCACCTGAGAGACGATACGAAAAAAGAAGAAAAATACAGATGGTACTATATATGGCCTTTAGAGGAGAATATTCATCCCCTCTATTTTCCATGTCTAGCAGCAAGTTACATACGGAGTACATTTAGTATCTAGTATTTTGTTTTTAGTTAGCATTTTTTATGGATAGATGAGATTACTCTAGTTAGGAGAAACTTGCATGTTGTAGGAACTGAAGTACATGGATGAGGTTATCTGAAAAACCGAAAACAAACCATATTTCAAACTAGACTAGATAATTGTCCCTGTATTGTACTGGGCATAAACATTCTTGTAGGTTCTCCCATGATTTACATGGGATTTTATCAGTAATGAGATTGACTAACAAAGTTTTATTTGGTAAAAATTTATTGGTTTACTAAAGAAAGCTTAATTTTATCTGGTAGGCCAATAAGAGGTGAGGCAGTTGAGGCAGTTTTTAGGGGAAATCGATACAAAATATCAAAGATGGAAAAATTCAAAACAAAAAAGAGTGACCGGGAGCATACATATAGGAGGTTGGACGAAGAATAAACGGGCAAAATAACCTTATGCTTTTTTAAGTAGGAATTAGTTGACATGCTACACATTTTCCCTACAACATTGGGCAGGTCCTCGGTTAGGACCAGTCAAGTATGGGTGGACGTCCCAAGAGAAGCTTAAAGAGTCCAACAAGTTGTTTTCAGGGGCGGGGGGTATGAAGGCAATATGCATCAAGGATCCAATTGTCGATCATAGATCAAGGTGGTGAGTTGATGGAGGAGGACCGAACCTTAGCGATAAACGGATCCAATTTTAGACCCATGCTAGTTTTTATTATTTTTATCCTTGTCAATAGTTCTACATGTTTGTACCTAGATCTGTTAGCCGTCCAGGTGACATAGTTCATTGGTTTTTTTCCTCCTTCATTTTGACATGTCAAGAGGTGGCACCGTTGAGGCGTTTTTTAAGAAAAAATGATGGAAAAAAGGCAGAGATTGAAGGGTGGAAATCAAAAGGGAAAGAGTGAGCAGAAACACAATAAAGAAGATGGACGAAGGACAAGCAAACACCGACATCTTATGTTTTATATAAGCAGGAGATCCGAGAGAAACTATCTCATGTGTTAATTGTTTTCTCCCTACGATATTGGGCAGGTCTTCAGTTATGACCAATCAAGGTGGGGATGACGTCCAGGGAGAAGCTTAAAGAATCCAAGAAGTTATTTTCAGGGGCAACGGCATGGAGAGATCAAGGATGCAATTGTCGATCATAGACCAAGGCGGCGAGTTGATGGAGAAGAGCTGGACCTTGGCGATCAAAGATACTTTTATAATGAGATGGTAGCTGGTCAAGCAACATAGTTTGTTGGTTATTTGTTATTTCATTTGAAGATGTTTAAGGAGATCTATTAGCCACGCAAGCAACATAGTTCGTTGGTTCTTTTTATTAATTCGGTTTTTACATGTTTATATCGAAATCTGTTAGCCTGGCAAGCGACATAGTTTGTTGGTTTTCTTGTTCTTTTCTTTGGACATGTTTATAATGAGATCTGTTAGCCGGGCAAGCGATATAGTTCGTTGGTTTATTTCCTCCTTCATTTTGACATGTTAAGAGGTGGCACCGTTGAGGCGTTTTTTAAGAAAAAATGATGGAAAAAGGCAGAGATTGAAGGGTGGAAATCAAAAGGGAAAGAGTGAGCAGAAACACAATAAAGAAGATGGATGAAGGACAAGCAAACAACAACATCTTATGTTTTATATAAGCAGGAGATCGGAGAGAAACTATCTCATGTGTTAATTGTTTTCTCCCTACGATATTGGGCAGGTCTTCAGTTATGACCAATCAAGGTGGGGATGACGTATAGGGAGAAGCTTAAAGAATCCAAGAAGATGTTTTCAGGGACAAGGGCACAGAGGGATCAAGGATGCAATTGTCGATCATAGACCAAGGCTACGAGTTGATGGAGAAGAGCTGGACCTTGGCGATCGAAGATACTTTTATAATGAGATCTGGTAGCTGGTCAAGAAACATAGTTTGTTGGCTATTTGTTCTTTCGTTTCAACATGTTTAATGAGATCTATTAGCCATGCAAGCAACATAGTTCGTTGGTTCTTTTTCTTCATTTGTTTTTTTACATGTTTATATCGAAATCTGTTAGCCTGGCAAGCAACATAGTTTGTTGGTTTTCTTGTTCTTTTCTTTGGACATGTTTATAATGAGATCTGTTAGCCGGACAAGCGATATCGTTGGTTTTTTTCCTCCTTCATTTTGACATGTTAAGAGGTGGCACCGTTGAGGTTTTTTTTTAAGAAAAATGATAGGAAAAAGGAAGAGATTGAAGGGTGGAAATCAAAAGGGAAAGAGTGAGTAGAAACACAATAAAGAAGATGGACGAAGGACAAGCAAACAACAACATCTTATGTTTTATATAAGCAGGAGATCAGAGATAAACTATCTCATGTGTTAATTGTTTTCTCCCTACGATAGTGGGCAGGTCTTCAGTTATGACCAATCAAGGTGGGGATGACGTCCAGGAAGAAGCATAAAGAATCTAAGAAGATGTTCTCAAGGACAAGGGCATAGAGAGATCAAGGATGCAATTGTCGATCATAGATCAAGGCGGCGAGTTGATGGAGAAGAGCTGGACCTTGGCGATCGAAGATACTTTTATAATGAGATCTGGTAGCTGGGCAAGCAACATAGTTTGTTGGTTATTTTCTCTTTCGTTTGAACATGTTTAGTGAGATGTATTAGCCAGGCAAGCAACATAGTTCGTTGGTTCTTTCTCTTCATTCGGTTTTTTACATGTGTTATATCGAGATCTGTTAGCCTGGCAAGCGACATAGTTTGTTGGTTTTCTTGTTCTTTTCTTTGGACATGTTTATAATGAGATCTGTTAGCTGGGCAAGCGATATAGTTTGTTGGTTATTTTTTCTTTCGTTTGGACATGCTTATAATGAGATATATTAGCCGGGCAAGCGATATAGTCTGTTAGTTTTTTTCCTTTCATCTGGACATACTTTTATAATGATATCTATTAGCTGGGCAAGTGACATAGTTCATTGATTTTTTCCTTTCGTTTTGATATGTATATACCGAGGCAAGTGAGATGTCTTTCTAGTGGCCACTGTCACATGGAAACCTTTGGATGCTTGCTACTTTATCGCTGTGACAGTAGCATCCGCCCCACCTCTGAGAGATATATAAAAAAGTAAATCAACAGTAAATTACATGTAAGATTTTATCTATATGACAACCATGAAGGGTCGATCTAACACGCATGACTATTCATCGACACGAAAACAATAGCACTCTTCGTTTCACAATTTCCCTATTTTACATACCCAAGGAACATAAAGCACACGGTGTATCTGAGGTTCAGCAGGGTGGACTTTTTAATATCCGTAAAAAAGTATATCATGAAGGATCGCTTTTGACCCGTCACATACGCCCATTTATCGACATGACAACCATTTTCTCGAAGCCAATCGACAAATACACTCCATTTCACGACTTGCCTATTTCGAAGACCCAAAAGAAAACCCCGTAAAGTACACGGCATTGCAAGTTCAACAACGCATGAGAAGAAAATCTCTGGCAGCCAAAAAATAAATGAAGAAATAATGAAAGATTATCCCGGCAATCTCCTCTCAGAAAAAGAGAGAAGAAGATACTCTGACGGAAAGATCACATTGCCAAAATTAGCCAGGACGGCTCACACGGGCGAGAGCCGAGAAAAGAAGCTTGAAGAGGAATTTGACCCAACGAGTTTCCATTTCCAGCCAAGGGAGGGAGGAAAAACTTTGCGGCTCGCCGCGGCCTCAAAACCCTAGGGCCCAAACCCCTCCGCCGCATCCCGGCCGCACGCCCGCGGATCCGACGGCTCAGATCGCCCGGCCCGTTGTACTTAACACGGCCGCCTTGCTCCCTTCTCTTCTTCCCCCACGAGAGCTCGCACGCGCGCACGCATTGGTAGCTGCGAGGGCGAGAGAGAGAGAGAGAAAGGGGGGAACGGAGCTCGAATCCCTCCCGAATCCGGGCCATTTCCGGCGGTCTGCGCGCTGTAGAACGTTTCGCTCCGCCTGATTCGGAAGGAAAGGGCGGTTCTTGGCGCTTGCCGGGTTCTTGGGGCGGCTGTTTCCGGGGTGAAATCTTGGGTTGGGGTTGAGGACGGCGGCGGGCGCGGTAATGGCGGCGGGGTTTTAGGGGGATAAGGCTGCGGGGATCTTGTTTAGGGTCGTTTGTTTGTTTGGTGTTGTGGTGGGGCTGTTTCTTGCTGGCGGCGGCGGCGGCGGCGGCGGTGATCGATCCGATGGTGACGGAGATGGCGACGCGGGGGGGAGGGGAGGCGGTGTGCGGGGGCGGGGAGGAGGGGGAGCGCGGGGACTTCGAGCTCTTCCGCAGCGGCTCGGCGCCGCCCACGGTGGAGGGCGCCATGGCCATGGCGGCGGGCGGCGGCGGGGAGGTGCTGCTGGACGACGAGCTGCGGGCCGACCCGGCCTACCAGAGCTACTACTACTCCAATGCGCACCTCAACCCGCGCCTCCCGCCGCCGCTGCTCTCCAAGGAGGACTGGCGGTCCGCGCAGCACCGCCTCCGCTCCTCCTCATCCTCCTCCGCCGCCGCCGCCGGGCTCGGCGGGATCGGCGACGGCCGGAGGGCGCCCGGGGACGGGCTCGTCGGCCTCCCCGGGATCGACCACCCCCGCCAGCGCGGCTTCCCCGGCATCTTCCAGGTGGTGGCTTCCTTCCTTCCTCCCAGCAAGCAAAGATCTCGTTTTCCGTCTTCCGTTTTCAGCATGCTATTATTAGTATTGGTTCTGCAGTGCTGTCTGTTATGACTTGCTATGAGTGAAGTGGACTGAAAATACTGGGGTGTGCGGCGGTCAACTGAATAGTCCAAGTTCATAGGAGTTCATACAGTATGTGTGTATGAACGACCAGTTCACACCTTGCAGGTTGCTGCTGGCTTCTTCATATGGTTAACTGAATAGTGCAAAGTTCATACATCATGAGCATAGTCTTGCTCTTGCAGCTGTTTGATTTATCGATTGCGTCGGAGGCATACTTTTCTGTGTGATTTGAAGTAGCATATAGCCATATATAGGAATGTTCTGTAGCCATAGCTTGCAGGGGTGGCGCAGAAGGGCGACTATTCAGTTTGAGTGCTGGATAGTATTGGCTGATCTATGAATTCTCAGAGCCAGTGTTTCTTTTGTAGTATTTGCTTAGATGGATCATTGTAACTGTTATCACTAATAGTTCCTGAATAACCTTTCCTTATTTACCGGATCATCAGAAGCACCGAGGTTCCTGAATAACCTCTCTGAATTTACAGAGTCATGAGAAATATTGTCTATTGCTTCACAATGTTCTGTTTGTATAATGCCTGTTTATGCATCTATGCGTCTGTTGCGTAGTATCCATTGGACCAGCAACTTTGTTCTAGCATGTTTGTTTCATTTTGCTATTCATGTTGGATGAACCAATACCTGCGTTAGGCAGGTAGAAATTAGCTTGTTTATTTCATTTTGCTATTTGATCATGTTCTTAGGCCATGTCTCCTGGTTCCATGTTACAACTGCAAACAATTTAATGTGGCTTTTCGGCTAGTTTTATTTCTCTTCAGTTTAATATTATGCAAGATGGCTTATCAGATTTGCACAATTTGCTGTAAATGTTCCAGGAGGACTCTCAACGTGATATGGATAGACAGAGTCTCAATCACAACCGCAATGACTTCCTGGATTCTTCTGGAATGCAGTATGCTCTGCATCGCGAGACTGGAGCTATGAGTGGCCTGCAGCGTGAGAGCAACGAACAGACCATGGCTGATATTCGGAACAATGAGTTGTCATCACATGCATATGCATCTATTTTGGGACCCTCACTCTCTAGAAGTGCATCCCCAGATCCGGAGCTGGTGAGGAGGGTACCGAGTCCGTGCCTGCCTCCAATTGGTGTGAAAGTCGGCGCTTATGATAAAAAGAGTAATGGTGGCTCCTCTTCTTTCCGCCGCAGTTCATCTGCCGTTGGTGAACCTGATGATCTGGTGGCTGCTCTATCTGGAATGAACCTGTCATCATCGAGAGCTGGTAATGGGCAAGCTATGGACCAGTCTAAGCTCTACCAGGATGTTGATAATGCCAATAGGTTCCTTTTTGATCAAACAAGTGGCAATCAGCAGCACTCCTTCATGAAACGTCCCGATCAAGGGCATTTTAGGGCACCTGAGGGGTATTCGGCTAATTCTTCTATGATGAGAAATCAGATTAATGCTGGTAACTTCACATCATCTGACAATTCCTCAGTTGGATCTGGCTATGCTTCGCCAAGGATTGGCGCAAGGTCCCCAGGAGGCACTTTATCTTCTAGGCAAAATTTAGGTGGTGCATCCAACTACCTAGGCTACAATGGAGTAGGAAGTCCGACTGGAGCAGCTTCTCTTCAGATGCCTATTGATCCATTATATGTTCAGTACCTTGCTGCCCAAGTTGCAGCAAGTTATGATGATCCTTTCATGGCCGGTGGACATCTAGGAAATTCTTACATGGATTTACTTGGTCCTCAGAAGGGTTGCCTTAGCCCACTGCTTCAGTCACAGAAGAACTATGGCTGCTATGGAAATCTTGGATTCGGCCTTGGTTATGGCGGTAGCCCTTTGACAAGTCCTGTTCTGCCCTCCTCACCTGTTGCATCTGGTAGCCCACTTAGGCACGGTGAACGCAGCATGCGCTTTGCATCAGGCATGAGAAATTTTGGTGGTTCTTTTGGTTCGTGGAATCCAGACCTGGTTGGGAAGATGGAAGGCAATCTGATGCCCTCGCTTCTGGAGGAATTCAAGAGCAACAAAAGCAGAACTTATGAGCTCTCTGAAATAGCTGGGCATGTTGTTGAGTTCAGGTACACTTCTGCATTTAATGTATATGAACATTATAACATACTTCGTGTGCATATGCATCGTACAGTCTTAGGGCCAAATACCCAACAGAAAGCACACGAATCCTCCTTTGTTTATTCTGATCACCCAATAATGAAAAGTGTTTTAGCCTTTCCATCTTAGCAAACACATAGCAATATGCTTCTATGTGCATGTGTGGGTGCACATACATACTGCACAATCTCGTTTCAAAGGGGACTAGTCTTCTCTGCAGTTTGCCAAGTTTGCACAGGGTACTGACCCCCTTAATTACTGCTGATTTCTTATTCATGACTGGAAGTATGCAGAACTGTAAAAGATATATCTTCTTGTATGGTTATTTAGTTACCAACTATTGAATATTTTGTAGTGCGGATCAATATGGGAGCCGATTCATACAGCAAAAGCTCGAAACAGCCAGCACTGAAGAGAAAGACATGGTTTTTTCAGAAATCATGCCTCAAGCTCTCACATTGATGACTGATGTATTTGGAAATTATGTTGTTCAAAAGGTATGGAAAATTGTTTTGTCTGAGGTGCTGGCTTTGTTATGTGGCACTTATCATTTGTTTGCCTTTTGTCCAGTTTTTTGAGCATGGAAGCACTACTCAGATAAAGGAACTGTCTGATCAGCTTATTGGGCGTGTCCTTGCTCTCAGTCTTCAGATGTATGGATGCCGGGTTATACAAAAGGTGCTCATTAGTTGATCCATATTTGTCTAGGAAAGCATTAGGACATCCTTGCATTTTGAAGTTAATTTTTATATGATAAGTAGGAAGCTGCAATTTATGGACTTTTTGCATGGGCTAAGTAGCATTTAAAATCATATTTTTTTTATGTTTCTGTACTGTGATTTTTTTTTCCTATAGCGTGTTGAGATTGGGTGTTCATTTTTATATGCTTATCAGTTGATTCATACGTTATCTAGGAAAACATAAGGACATTCCTTTCATTTTGAATTTCATTTTTATATGATCAAGTAGGAAATTATGATTTCTAGACTTCTGCATGGGCAAAGTAGCATTTACAATCACTACCTTTTTGACTTTTCTGTAGCTTGAATTAGCTCATGTCTTGTTGAGATTGGTATACAATTTTATCAATCATTGAAATAGTTCTTAGTATAATACCTAAACCACCCCTTTCCACTAACATGTACTATATGAGGATTTCTGGAGCAAGCAACTTAACTGATATTTTACAAGGCATTAGCATACAAATTAACAGTCACATCTGCCTTCTCTGTTATACAATATATATATACTGGAACGCTCAAACATATAACCTCTCCTGTATACTTACTTAAAACTTTTTGCACATATACCTAAATACATAAATTGCTGGAAGAGTAATGGCATCTTATGTCATGTGATGATATATGTGTGCAGGCCATAGAGGTTGTGGATTTAGCTCAACAGACTAAAATGGTTGCTGAACTGGATGGACACATCATGCGCTGTGTACGTGATCAAAATGGTAACCATGTAATCCAGAAATGCATAGAGTGCATCCCTCAGGACGTTATCCAGTTCATTGTCTCAACATTCTATGGTCAAGTTGTGCTGCTATCCACTCATCCCTATGGTTGTCGGGTTATACAGGTATGCTAATACCGCACAACATGCTCCTTGATACATTTTGAAGTATACAATTAATATGTCACAGTCTACATCGCTCATCATATCATGTGAATTACCAGAGGGTGCTGGAGCACTGTGATGACCCCACAACGCAGCAGATAATGATGGATGAGATTCTTCAATCTGTTTGTTTGCTGGCTCAGGATCAATATGGTAACTATGTTGTTCAGGTCAGTGCCATGCACATCTTCTCGAACATTGTTGCATACCTTGAACTTGTCCAAGCTTCTATGCTGCTTCACTACTGCGTGGTGTAATGTAGTTGGCTATTTGGTGCAGTATCATCTGAAGGTTATCATGTTGTTTTAATGCTTGAAAATTACTAGTAACTGCATGGTAGTTTTCCTTTTGTACTCCCTCCGTTTCTTTTTATTCCGCATATTAGGTACCAAATTTATATTAGAAAATATTAAAGTCTGCAATACCAAATAAATCCAATATGAAAATATACTCCATGATGGATCTAATGTTATTGATTTGGCATTGTGAATGTTGATATATTTTTTCTGTAAACTTGGTCAAACTTCAGAATGTTTTGACTTAAGACAAACCTAATATTCTTATTGATTACTAAGATGTGGACTTTACACATCTTTTTTCTTCAAGTGTCTTGCAGTGACCTGCACTAGTCTGCCTTCTGTTTCGTGTAGTAGCATCTGCAGGCTGCTGCACTGATCTTTCTGCTTACGTAATGCTTACTGTTTACTGTTTACTGTTTAACAAGTGGATCTGTATTTTTTTTGTGGACTGCTTACTGTTTGCTGTTCTTTGATGAATACTGAGATCTGGACTTTGCACTCTCAGCTCTGAGATTTTTAACCTTCTGTTCCCATTTTCACAATACTTTGTTTCTGACAATGCTTGCTGAACTTTTGCAGCATGTTCTGGAACATGGCAAGCCACATGAGAGAACTGCTATCATTGACAAGTTAATTGGGCAGATTGTGCAAATGAGCCAGCAAAAGTTTGCTTCAAATGTCATTGAGAAGTGCTTAGCTTTTGGTAACCCTGTGGAGCGGCAGATCTTGATTGGTGAAATGCTTGAGTCTACCACTGAAAGTGAACCTCTTGAGGTCTGTGTTTTTTCAGCATTTTTTACCAAGCTCCCAAGAGAATCTACATGCCAAATATTTGTTAACCTTGCTGATGTACATTGCATATGTCCTTGCAGGTGATGATGAAAGATCAGTTTGCAAACTATGTGGTGCAGAAGGTGTTGGAGACTTGTGATGACCAGCAGAGAGAGATGATCCTTACAAGGATCAAAGCTCACCTGAACACACTGAAGAAGTACACCTATGGGAAGCACATAGTCGCGCGTGTAGAGAAGCTAGTTGCTGCTGGAGGTATGTTTTGTCATCAATATTCACAGATTCAGCATGAAGATCTTACATATGCTAACCATATGTCTGTCTTGCTCTTGTGGATGCAGAGAAGCGCCAGGGGCTTCAACCAGCATGCACCGCCGCCTGAAGGGTGGAACTATGCAGTTGTACAGCTAACAGTGGCTAGGTTTGCGCTCGCGTGTTCCCCCCAACAACTGAAAACCCTATAAGATCGACTAGTAATGGTACCGGCATGAATAAGATACAAATCTTGGTTGCACTGGAGAGAGTGTACATTCTGTAGCTGAGGAGGCAAAGACTAATCTGAGAGACTAAGCTGTAAAGAGGAGGAAGAGGGTGGAGTATGTTTGAACATGTTACTCTGCTCACTGTACAAATTTAGCACTAGAGAAGAGAAGAGAGTGAGAAAGCTGTTAGCTGTCGTAACAATATCCAAGTTGAGAGCCGCTGCGACTACTTTTTTAGTTATCCTGTTGTGTGTCTCGTGTCGATAGAAGCAAACAAACCATGATGATGGCTTGCTGTTGTTGTAAGATAAAACTCTTTTCTGCAGTTTAAGCTGAAGTTATTAGTATCAGCTTTGCTGAACTGTTGAACAGTTTCGTGTATTAATGGAGTGTGTCCGTCTGTAATCTAATCCAGGATGATGAAATGCATGAGTAGTTTATGTTCCTGCAAGTTTTTCTTTCGCCCAGATTCTTGTTGTTTGGTATTTACTGCCAAGCGTAGCTCAGATTTGTAGGATCTGAAGAACACTGGTGTGATGTAATGCTAGTTTTATCATCAAGTTTGATTAATTCTTATGGCAACAAGTTACTTTTTATTGCTTGATTTTAAAACCATGCAAATAGACTTGGATGTAGCTCAAATGGTAATAGTATGTGTAGGCTATCCATGTCAGATACAATGTTCAACAATTTTTAAAATTATTTATGTTTGGTTTTGCACAGTGGTAATTATAGGGCAGAGTAGGATGGTAGGCTCCAAGAAATTAACTGAGCTAAAATTGTGGCGATGAACTGTCCATACCATTGTGATTCTAATTTGCACATCAACAGTCTAGTGTGATTCAAATTTGTACATGGGCATGGGAATGAAAAAATATTAAGAGGGTCATGCTTTTTGCCAATGGAATAAGCATTTTGAGATCATATCCAAAACTTGCATTCTTAAATTTAAATTTCTGATAAATCTGTTCAAGAAACACAGCCCCAACATAATAAGCTATTTTGATCATGGACACATGTAAAGCGCAATGTTGTCCCCACGAGCTTAGGACATTCACCAAATCAACCCCCAAGACCCATTTGTTGCCTGATGTTCCCCATTTGTTTGAAAGTTGGACAAGTGGGACACAACAATTTTACTTCTTGTTTGACACGAGAAAAATTCTAAATTGCACTCCATGAGAAGGGAAAAAAAGGAGTTTGATTTCTCTCATGCGCCAAGAAAAAAATAATATGGGGTGCCAGTGTATCATAGTACACAAAGAAAAACAAAAGGGAGGTGGACAATAATTTATTAATCGCAAGGATAACAAATACAATTCTCAATATTACGCTCCATGGCCTATGAGCGCTGACTGTAGCGATGTGCGGTCCTTGTGGTTCCCGGGGCCTCGAAAGGTTAATGGCTGAGAATATTACCCTACCGCCTGGTTAAACACCCAACGTGGTACGTGCCCTACTAAAGCTCACTATTTACCGCACATGACACTTGACCTCTATTTCTTGAATTTTTATATTTTTGGCATTTTTCCTGAATTTTTTATTTTAAAAGTCCAAAACGGGCCGAACGACCCGACATGCTAAAATGGCCTCCTCTGTGAGTCGTGTCGTTTCATGCCCCGATGGGCCGGCCCCTTGCTGTGCCAGGCACGATGGTGGCGCACGCACAACCTCGGCCCAATAGTCTGGAGACAGACCGACGCACAAACTAGCCCTAGCCCTAACCTTCTCATATCCACATTCGCCTCCCTTCATCCCCTGTGTCTCTCCCCACACCATCCCGCCGCCAGCTCTATCGCTCGAGACATAAACCCTAGCTCCCCCCCTCCCCCGATCTCGCCGACCGGCGACCATGCCAGTCCCTCCCACGACGACGACGACCTCATCTGGCCAGATCCTGCGCCGACGACTATGCCCGTCCCGCCAGACGACGACCTCATCCAGCTAGATCCCGTGCCTCCTCCCCACGACGATGTCAGGACCCCGACTCAATGCCACATCGATCTAGCATGTAACACCTCATATCACTTTGCGGCCTCACGCATGGTATCCCCACGGTCAGCGCTGTCCACGGTCTCCAGTAGGCTACAAACACCAGAAACTACTTGCAACTCCTGGACAGAGGACTAGGGTGAATAAGAAGCCAAGAGGGTCCATTGGTTTCGGGCCCAATGCATGGTAGTAACTGTATCATGGATCACAAACACAGAACTCAGTTCCTGAGGACGGCTGCAATGAGACAACCCACCATGTACTCCTACATGGCCTCTCACCGCTACCTTTACCAAATCATGTTCACACACTTAGCTCACACACAGTAGGACATGTTCACACACCTCTGATTCATCCTCGATGAATCAGACCTGACTCAACTCTAAGCAGTAGCAGGCATGACAAATAAGCATGAATGAGTAGGCACATCAGGGCTCAAACAACTCCTACTCATGCTAGTGGGTTTCATCTATTTACTGTGGAATGACAGGTCATGCAGAGGATAAAGGGGTTCAACTACCGCAGCAAATAACAGATGAATTGATGTTGTCCTAATGCAGTAAAAGAGAGCAGGAGCAAGAGAGAGTGGAATTGTATCGGAATGAACAAGGGGGTTTTGCTTGCCTGGCACTTCTGAAGATAGTATATTTCTTCATTGGTGTCATCGATCACATCGTCGGTACACGTCTTACTGAGAGGGGACAAGCACCGACAAACAAAGAAGAAGCACAATCAATGCAATGCACAATATGATGCATGATCATGACATGGCAATATGATGTGGTTTGAGCTAATGCAACTAGCAGCAAGTTAAATGAAGTTGGTTTGAACCCTAGGTTCAAATTCAAACTCCACATGAGGCATTTCAAATGCCATTTATTCAAATTGTTGTATACAGCAGATTTAAGTTGTTCAAACATGCATGAAAATGGTACGGATGGATAGATTGGATTTTTCTGATCATTTTTCATATATAATTTATTTCATTCTGAGTTACGGTTGATTTTATATGAATTTTTGAAGTTTATAACATTTTCTGGAATTCCCTGAATAAGAACAAGTCCAGAAAATAATTAACTGCGTCAGCATGACGTTGGCGTGACGTCAGCAGGTCAACAGGGTCGGCCAGGTCAAATCTGACCAGTGGGATCCGCGTGTCAGTGTCACAGCTAATTAACGGAGTTAACACTACTAGGAAAAGGCATGCTAGTGGCGCACCGAATTTGCCTTCTAATGGCGCACTAGTGGTGCGCCACTGGCATCATGCCATTAGAATTAAATTCTAATGGCGCACTAGTGGTGCGCCATTAGTATCTGGTGTTCTAATGGCGCACCACGTAGTGCGCCATTAGTATAGCCTGCAGTGCGCCATTAAAATGCCTCCCAGGGGCCATATGTACAAATGTGCTTTGGCATTCTAATGGCGCACCAGCAGCTAATGCGCCATTAGTGTGATGATCACAGTGCGCCATTAGTGTCTTGTGTGGTGCGCCATTAGTATGAATATTAGGTTTTATTTTTTTTGCTTTTTTGATTTTTGCACAGGTTACAAAATATATTATTGCATAGAATATAGACAGCAGCACACAGCAACATCAGATTCATCAAATACAATATAAGATTAGTCTTCGAATACAATTCATCATATTAGTCTCCGGATTCAAAAGACCGGACAAAGATAAAACATTACAAGTCTCAAGACCGCGAGTATCGAGTTTGCCTTCACATTACAAGTCGATATCGATCATCTAAACTACCATCACATAGAAGAGAGCTGGTCATCACGATGAGCATCATCGCGATCAAACTGGTCTTCATCCGGTTCCTCCAACGCTCCCTCCTCTCTCCCGCTAGATAGCGGGCGTATCTAGATTCGGCCTCCGCCCTAGTGGTGTACCCTTTGTAACTGTTACCGCTGAAACGGTGAACCTGTCTCCGACACTCCTCCCAGTCATCGTAGACTCCGGGAACCTTACCCTTGTACACGACATACGACGACATCTCTATGCACAAGCCAAACAACAGACAATACATAAGCAATGTGTAAGTATGCAACAAAAGGATCGGAAAAGAAAAGCAAGACATTAATAGCACGATTCATGGTCCTACTAATAAATAACATCGATTGCATCTAAGTTGAACAACCGTCCAAACCAAAGAGACATACGAATTCATTAAAGTTTAATTACAACATGAGCCAATCAATGTTTCAGAACTACACATCACTACTTTCGACTCAACTCATCGGACAGGAGCGTGGGTGAAGCCGCCGTCTGTCGTGATGGTTATGAAATCACGGTCGTTGTCACCCTGCATTTGTAGCGTTACATCTATCTCACTGTTGGACGGTTGATATCTGAGGAAGAACTGCCCCGCGGTATGAAGGACATCTTGATGGATGATGCCCGCAAACTCCGACTGGATGTGAAAGAATTCTTGTCTGAGGTCCGCGTCCTGGACTGCCAACAAGCTCGCGGCCCAATCTTTGAGATTATCTGGTAGCAGAAGGTGATGATGGTCCCTTACGATCGCCCGCATGTGATGGAGGGCGTAGTAGGCATCCTTCTGACCGCCAGGCGGCTGCTTGACGCAGCAGAACTTCGTATTGTGTGAGAAGATGTGCTTGCCGTACTTACGAACTAGCCTGGTGAAGGTGCCTTCAGATTGGGCATAGCCGGGGAGAACATCATCAAGAACTTTCTTCACATTTGTGTAGTCTATCATGGAGTTACGGTTCGGGTCGAAATACGTGGCCATGGAATATTTCGGGCTTAAGAGGATGAGTGTGCAATGTGTGTCACTGCACAGAACACGGAATGTTAGAAAAAAAAGAACGATCGAAATCTAAGAAATCATATGTTACGGGGCGGTTAAGGGATGACTTATTCGGGAAAGTAAGGCACAAGGA